TGGGTTCGTTCGTAGTTTGTATTTGCTAGGCAGCCGCCCGCCCCGGTGCTCCAGCCAGCGGTTGGGGAACGTTCCGTGCAGGAACTCAGAGCGTGCTGCTGCCTCTCAGTCCCACGCCCCGCACGAATTGCTCGAGGAGGCCGCCGATGGCCCCCGAGGGGCTGGGGGGCACGGCCTTGAGGCCGATGGTCCGGCTGTAGCTGGCCAGAAAGGCAGAGCGCACTTCTTCCAGCCGGGACTCGCGGTCGCTCGGCGACACCAGCCTAGGAGAGAGAAGGGGGAGATCAGGGACTGCAGCCATCCCTCTCCCTCACCCAGCTCCAGTTCCTGATGGGGAACAAGCTGTTGGAGGTGGAACTGAGACTCTGGCTGCAACCCTGGCTCCAGGGGCCAGGGCAGTTTGAGCCCCAAAAGGCTCCAGCTACAGCAACTGGTGCTGCTGCTTCCTTATCCAACCCAACCCCACCCTCTCCCACGGAGCCCTTCACAGCCCCAGCCTCCTGCTCTCCCCAGGTCTCCTCCTTCACTCCCCTCTCCCAGTTTCTCCCACCACCATGGTGCTCACAAGGCCATGGTTCCTACAGAAAATGCTGTTTTTGCCAAGTGGGTGCTGGCTGACGTCAGCCCCACACCAGTTCCCCCCCCTCCTCACGCAGCATTCCCAGATGGAGCCTGGACAGTTGCTTCCAACCTATTTGCGACCACCCCTGCCCACTGGCCCCAGCCTCTGGCACTCGTGTGAGCACAGACAGCTTTGGGGAAGGGGGGGTGATGAGAGGGGGCAGACTAAGCCCCAAGGAGTGCTCTAGCCACAGGACTGGGAGAGCTGAGCAGCGTTTACTTCTGCTCCCTGGCACAGCTGCTCTCTGCAAGCTGGAGTAGGGCATCGCTTCCCCCAGGACCTGCTCTCCTCTCCAGCTGATCCACACACCTGGTTAGGGGCGGGGAGGAAGAGAGAGGAGGGGAAGCAACAATTCAGCCGAGGGGAAAGCAAGACTAAGGTTCAGAGGCAGCTCTTCCCAAGCGCCCCGGCCTGACACGGTCCTTGCTGCGACACGCGGGTGGTTCCCAGAGAGAAGAAGACATTCCTCAGAGGTCACTCCAAGGGCGCAGCGCGAACCTTCCTCATAAAATATTCTCTTTAATCTCTCCAGCGCCCGGGCTGGCTATAAATTGGCACAGCTCGTTTGAATGGAAGTGTTAACCACCCACAGCCAACAGCTTCGGTCTGGAAACAGCAGCAAGAGGATATGGTGGGAGGCCTATAAACAGCAAGCGATGCCGAGGCAGCCAACTGGGCCGCTGTTTACAGTGTCTGGTAATAAAGAGAAGCCAGAGGGCAAAGGAAAAAAAAGGCAACGTATCTAAACACGTTAAAAAGATGCTTTTTTGGCAACCTAATTGGGACGTGGAACTCGCACACCTGCTAGCATTAAAAATAAGCTACACGAAAGCAGGACTTACGTGCACCCGAGTGCAGTGATCTGAAATGTCGTGTGCAGAGGTAGCGAGGGTGTGCAGCAGTTGGGTCCCACATCTTCTGGCTCTAGCACCTCTTCACCAGGCAAGCTTTGTATTTAGGCTTTTAGGTTTTTTTCATGGAGTGAGACACTCCCAAGGCACAGGGTCAAGTGGCAGGTGACTGCCCAGCACCAAGCCTGGCTGCACCTTTTCACTCCGAGCAGTCAAAGCAGGGAGGCAGGTCCCACTTCCCTGCCAAATCCATGCTGCTCTGCCCCTCGACACTTCCTACAGCCTGCCCGCTCGCCTCCAGCTCGGGGTGCAGGATTGAGAGGAGGCTGTCAAAGCCCCAGCTCAAAGTGAGCCCTGACAAGCCCCACACAAGCACAAGTAGGCTGTGAAAAGCGTCCCTTCATCGAGCTGATGCCAGCTGAGATGTAAAGTGGGAACTTAAATGGAATTAAATTTTCCAAAAACTCACACTGTGCTGGGCTGTGAAAAACTAGGATAAAACCACAATGGGTTCCTGAGCAAAGAGAGCTGATGCAGAGTGGAGAGAGTGGAGGCCCTGGGTCAAGCTCAACACAGCATCCTTGGGGGTCTCTACATCCCTTCCAAACAGTGCCTGGGCCCAGCACCGACTGTACACCCCAGGGAGAAGCACTGTCCCCCTCCCTTTGAACCCATCCGTCCCAAACAGCCAGACGCCAAACGGCACGAGCCTACGGTCTTGGCACCAGCAGCTTCAGAGCTCAGCTTCAGTTCACATTTGTCTTACTGAATTCCCTATTCTGACATTAGATCCAACTCCAAGGGCAGCAACAACTCACTGGTGATCAGCAGCCACCAAGCACAGCCAGGTTCAGGGCACAGGAGAGCAGTCACTAATTCAGATACCCATCCCTCAGTCCCTTCTGCTCTCTCACCAAACTCCAAACAACTGCAGGAGCAGCTCAGCTTGTCCTCATTAAATGAGGAGAGCAAATCCCAGCCAGGCCATGTCCAGCATCTCTCGTGACTCCTTGATCTGCCAATTCACGGGTCTTGTAGCTTCACTGTAACTTGCAGGCAGTTGCTCTGCCCTGCTCAGCAGCACAGTGCACAGCCACGTGAGAAGGCAAGCCATGGCAGCCAGCCTGCCTCACAGGAGACACTGGTTGTCACGTCACTTGCCCTCTGCCTCCAGAGCACACTCAGATCTCTGTAAGGGACCGCGAGCGTGTGGCAGCACAGCTTGCTCGCAGCAGCCCCTGAGCTGCCATTTCAGTTTCTTGATTGAGAGTCTGCAGCCTGAAGGCACAGGCTGAGGTTCTCCTCTAACAGCAATTAGAGCACATCTCCCATCTCTCAAGCTTCCACAGAGGTGGTTTTCTATTTGGGGAGGAACAGTTGCCTCCCAGCCATTTTACACAGCCAGATGCAAGGTCTCTGCTGCTCTGCACTGGCCAGATGTGGCACCTGCAAATGATGCTGTGCATGGCCAGGCAAAGGCTGGGGTGACAGAAGCACAGCCCCTCTCTTACTGCAGTAAGGATCTAACCCGAGATGGAGATGAGCAAGATCCAAAAGCAAGAAGATCCAGGTTACCAGTCCTGTCCTGACAAGCATGCATCCACAAATACACTTGATTATGCTCAAATTCAGCATCTTCAGGGAAGAGAGAAAAGTAAAATGCCCCTCTGTCATTAGACAGAGAAAATGCTGGTTTCTTTCTGAGTTCAACAAAAGCAAAGAGTGCTCAGGGTCTCAATTTCTGGATGGAAAGCATCAAGGCAGAGAAGATAGGACAGCTTGTTACGGGCTCCCAGGCTTCTTTGAAAATGCCAGGGCGATAAAGTTCCAGCGCTCGCAGCCAGCCGAGAAACCCAGAGAGATCCTGCGTTTGAGACACTTACAGGCAAGTGCTAGGGGACTCATCCGGGAAGCTGCAAGGGAGAGAGGCGTCTGCACTCAGGATTGCCTGCTCCCGAATACTGCCACACCCTGTCACCATCTGCCAGCTGCCAAAGTCTGTGGAAACGGAAGATCCGGGCAGAGAATGGTCCGCCGATCTGCGGCAGAGAGAGAGGGAGACGGCGCGATCAGTCAGGTCATTCAGCCACATGCCTCTTGCTAGTGCTGGTGCCAGGGGCCCTCTGGGCTGGCTGCCAGTAGTGTCTGTGCCAGCAGCTCTGACACTCGGGGACCAGGGTGCCACATGCAGCACTGGCTGGGCCCCAGGACAAGCCCTTCCTTTGAGCACGAGGGGAGAGACAAGCCGGCTGGGGCTGAGAAAGCAGCAGGAAGGCACCGGGAGCCGTGCAGGACAGAGGCAGCAACAAGCAGATGGCCATGCAGAACTGGGAAACCTGTTAGTGAGATGCAACAGCTCCACCTGCCCCCTGTCCCTCACAGATGTGGACACCATGCTCTACCAGGGGCATCTTCCTGTTGCTTGTTGTAGCTGTTAGCACATTCCAGTGCAGTGGCAAGGCCTGACAGAGAATCAAGGTTGTGACTTGGTTAGTGCTGATAAAGACTCTGAGATCCTTGATCTGGCAGCTGTTTAGAAGGCAGATCATTCCCAAGGCATTAACACCAGATCTGAACAGAGCCAGTCGCTGCTCAAGATGTCTCCAGGGCACCCACCCCTTTCCCCAACATCTGAAGATCTTTTCATTCCTTTGTCAGAAGAATGGACTGCATCAGAAACCAGGAGGCAAAACATCATTAGGACAGGAAAAATAGGCATAGCTTGATGTATGCAGCCTCCCACCAGGAAAGAAGGAAGCATGAAATCTGATAAGTGAATCTGAGGAGTCCCTCCAAAATCTCAGAGAAGAGGGTACAATCACTTGAGACAAACCCAGAGCTCTTGGCTTCCGGGGAGCAAGCAATTACTGTGCCCCGCTGCACAGCAGAGTGTACATAGCTGGAAGCACAGTCTGTGGCAGAGCTACTCAATTACACACTACCAAGATCTCCTGGATAATTTATCTGAGATCTGCTGGGCAGATAGCAGTGCACCAGCTCCAGCTCTGCTGGGCCAGGTACTTGCATGCTGCCTTCACAGCTAAGAATAGCAGTGGCGCACTGCAGCTGCTCCCCAAGAGACCAGGAGAGCAGTGAGAAAGACAGGATCTCCCACAGCAAGAAGGACCTCAGCAAGACTGGAAGACAAGGGTGGGGGGAGATGCACAGCAGGAAACCTGTTTGCAATCTCCATCTAATTCCAAGCCTGCCATTTAACCAGCCTGATCAATACGGGCAAGCTTGAGAAGTCTGAAATGAGGTCCTGAGCTGGCTGCACAAGTGGAGAAGGGAAAGCCACACAGCTCCTTGCAGGTCAGCCTCCCATCACAGCACTGTCCTTCCTGCAGCTGCAGTTTGGGGGTGACACCACCATCTGAAAGTCCAGGCTCTGGGAGGGCATCACAGCAGAAAATGGGAGGAGATTTTCATCTGCCCTGCACAGCTCTAGTTCTTTGGCTGCTTGATGAACTGAGGAGTGAGGTGCTGCCAGTGTTTAGGCACTGGGAGAGCCCCTTCTTGCAAAGAGGTGTGTTTCCTAGAGCACAACGTTGAGGTAAGAATGAGGGCACTTCACTGAAAGTAGAACTGCAGAACCCTTAGGAAGGACCTTCTGGAGATCAGAGAGGAGTAACCTTCCTTGGGATGCAAGGAATTGATATAGGGAGTAGCTACCTCTCTTACTGCCTTTGGAAGATCAAGCTGAGGAAGTCAGCATAAAGGAGAGCAGGCAGAGCGTTTGGGCCCAGAGCATGGTGCCATGGTGGAAGCACAATGGGAACAGTGCAGGAAGCCAGGGAGAAGGATAGAAGAGCACTGCTTCAGTGCAAAGGGAGAAGGGTGTCACCTCCCTAAGAGTACAGCACAGCCAGACAGGAAGAACAGCAGTGTCACATGCAGTGACAAGTGTTGGAGCTAAAGCAGTGACAAGGTCTGCAGGCAATGGGCTTGGGCTGAAAGTAGATGGGGATGTGATTCTGTCAGAAAAGTAATGAGCTGCTGAACAGAGGATAGGTTTGGGGCCAGGGAGAAAGAAGGTTTTGAAGAGGGAGACTCCGAGTGGCAGAGGAGGGCTTGGGCTATGGAAGGATCTCCAGGTGAAGGGAACTGAGCAGAGCTCTGCAGTTCTCACAAAGGGAGAGCACTATTAGGATCCTAATGAGGAGACTATGCACATGGGGCAAGTGAAGGAACAAGACATGATCCAGGGCCTCAAAGACATTAAAAATGTCCCTCTGCCCAGCATCTGGGCAACCACACTGGCCAAATGAGCCTGTGCTAAAGAAAGTGAGCAGAAAATGGTTTGGGTGTGTGGGCTCAGCTTCCAGCTCCTGGTCACCTCTCATGGTTGTTAGCTAAGATTAGACTGATCTTACACCAGCTCTTGGAGGTGGAGCAAGTCACCTCTTGAATCCTTTCTTGGACAGGCTGCTAAAAGCATCATGAACCTCCTGCCAGACTGACTCTCAGTGGCTCCCTAGCCCTTCCTGGGGTCCCTGACCCCATCAGGCAGCTGTGCAAACTTAGTCAAGCTACATCTAACCAAACAGCACAGGAGTCTGGGAGTTCAAGGCAGCCCATTCTGTGTCTTGCCTCCAGGCAGCAGAATAAACACTTGTCAATTAATTGAATAAACTGTGTCTGTGTAATGAGTGCAGGTCATCTCTCTCCTGGCTTACGTATCTGAGCCCAACCAGCTAAGCTAAGACACCGTGGCAGACTCCCCCTCTATCCTCTATGCCTTCTCAAGAAAGGCTCCTGGGGAAGTGTCACAACCAACAAGCATCTTCAACAGCCTCGAGAGACAAGAGGGGCCAAGGCTGAGTGAGACAGGCAGGGAAGGCATGGCAAGGGAAATCTCGACGTTGCAGCACAAGGGCAGCAGAGTTCTTAAAAGCTGAGCTTGCCTTGAGACCAAGACCAGATCTCTAGGGTGACTGTATTCCAGTGCAATCCAGTCAATGCCAGGTGTGAGTGTCTCCCTGTTATTTTTACCCCTGAAGGCTCTTTGTGAAGTCTTTCTGCAGAGGCCCAGAAAGGGCTTCAGGCCCCACAGCAAGCTGGGGATGTTGGGACACCAGGACCAGTTCCCAAGCCTGTAAGAACAACAGGTTTGTGACATGTCACAGCCATGCCAGAGGTCGGCTACCTGCGAGGGCCGCGTGTAGGGTCTTGGGGAGCAGCTGGACCACTACAGCAAAGCTGACATGGTTAAGGGAGATGAGATACAGAAAGCTTTCAAGTCACTGTCTCTGCCACAGACATCTACTGGCAGACAGAAAGAGAATGAAAGAGAACTTCACACACCCACCTCTTCAGGTCCACGAGTGGGAAGAAACTCCCTCAACAGTGCAAGATTAACAGAATTAGATTAGCAAAACAGAGATGAGCTGCAAGATGTTCCTTCACACAAGGAAGGACCTCTAGCAGCCCGTAAATTAGCAACTCCCAGCCTGGAACAGTTCCTTTTAATTAGGTCAGTGCTTCCCATGCAACATGCTGCACAAGACAAAGAGTATTTCAGAGCACACGGGCACTCGCCTACCAGAGAAGAGCCAATAGTGGAGGCAGAGCAACAGTCAGGAATCCTTCCCTTTCCCAATATGTAACTGAGATGAGTGCCAGGTGTCCAGCAGCTCAGCTCTCATCCTGCCCTGTGCTGCCCCCGCTCACCTGCCACATTTCTACATACCTGGGACTATTTGGGAAGCAGCTCAGTTGCCAGCATATGCTCTGTGCCTCAAATCAAAGCATTAAGTACTGTATGCACAGGCAGATTGTGGCAACGTGGAGTAAAGGGCAGCCCTTCCCACCTTTGCGTGGGAAGCACTGGCAAGGAGCACTTGGCAGGGAGCTGTACTGAGCTCTGGCTGAATCCCAGCCAGCTATCCACCAGCTCCATTAGTGCCCCAGTGCCTGAGCAGCCAGCCCTCTGTGAGCACAACCATTCTGGATAGCAGCACACTCATGTGCCAGCCAGAAAGCCCATTTTGTAGCAAGGTCGTGCAATAATTCCAGAAAAGATTCCTGTGAACAATTCCTGTCCTGCTGTGGTCACTATCCCAAGAGATGACACTGCAGATCCAGCTTCCAAGCCAGGAATAAGCTGTAAGGAGCAAGACACAGGGTGCACATGCAGCCTGATCACCACCTAGAAACACCTAAAGCCAAGGGGCAGCAGCTTCTCTGTCCCCTGTCCCTCTCTGCTCACTGCACTCCCTCCAGACCCACACCTGAGCTGCCTGCAGCTCTTTAAGTGAGGGAGTTCACTGTGGCTGTCAACCAACGCAGATCCTCCATGATTTAACTCCTGCAGACCTCAACTCTTCAGATCACAGTACTTTGGTTTTTGTTTAATTGACTTAGGGAAAGCACATTCAACCAAAGATTATCCAGTTGCTAATCCCCATTAGTGCTACATGCACTCACCAAATCCCTGACACAGATACATGGTATTTCTGCAGTGTCATGGGATGCTCAGATTATTAGCATCAGGTGCTAAGAGAGAACATGGCTTGCAAGCAGCTGCCCACTCAGCCATCAGGAGCTGGAGTCAATGCACCCTCTGCCATGCCCACAGCTCTCAGTTCATAGAACAAGCACCACTTTGTCTTAGTCTGCCCATAGTCTACACAGTACCTTCATGCATGGTTTGGCCTCAGCAGATGTGATCATCCCAGCACGCTGGAATAAGCTAGAAAGACTGCCAGGAATTTGCCTTCCTACTGCTTTGCCTGACAAGAACCACCCTGGGATTTATGCATAGCCAGGACCTCTGGATCAGAGCAGGACTCAGGAGATGGGCTGGAGAGGGGATGGCAGCAGACTGCTGACATGGCCTGGCCAGGAGAGGGGCTTGGCTCCCACCAGCTGTCTTGGCATTTGTGACTTTCCTTGAGGACACCACAGCTCCCCTCCCAGGTCCCTCTCTGCCACCTTGACTTCCTGTTCCCTCCGCAGCTCCCCTGCCCGGCACACGGACTGGGCTCTACCCATGGGCTACCTGAAGGGTGCCTGCTGGCATTTTACAAACAACCATTTTTCCTCAACTGCTGCTGCAGTGGTAAAGTGTTTTGTTGCTATGGCCACACAACCAGAGGATTAGGAAGTCAAGTACAGTAGTTTCTTCATCTTAAGAGCCTCAAGTGTTAACCTGCCAGCAGCATTGCAGAGATAAAAGGTGTTTTTTGGCATAATGATCAACCTCTGTGATCCAGCCTTTACATCCCACCATTTTTCCCATGGTCCCACCATTTTTCAGGGGGGGAAAAGAGAAAATTTACCTCTTCCTTCCATCACAGATACTCTCCTTCTTCACCTAAAATGGGAGTCTGCCTTTCCTTCAGGATTGAAAATGGTGGCTGAAGGCACTGTGATATCCAGTACCTGCACAGAGCTCACCAGACAAATTCAGACTAACACACTCCAAGCAGAGAGACCAAAGCCAAGTGGAGTTCTATAAATTTTTCCTCTGTGACATTGCTCCAGCCCTTTGCTAGCAGAGCTGCTCCCAGTGCCAGCCCAGGGAAGGCAGGCAGGGCACAGCCCATGGTCTGGCTAATCTGGCAATGGACTAGGAGGCAAAGAAGCATGAATAAGCCAGAAGACTTGGTTTGAAAGAGAACTTCAGTTCAGCTGTTGCCTTGACAATTCTACCCACTGCCTACAGGGTCTCCATAGCATACCTGCTATCTCTTCCCCACCACACCTGCCTGCTGCCTCAAACCCTGAGGGTGCTGGTTGTTGACACCTGACACTAACAATTGAAAAACTGAGGACACCTCATCCAGACACAGCCAGAGGAAAGATAATCGTTGGCTTTACCAACTCTGAACCCCTGGGACTCAAATCCTAGGGACAGTGTGGTGTGCTCATCACCTTCCAGCCATGCTGCTCGGCCTACTCTGCCTCTCCCTCTTCACTCTTGTGGAGCAGCAACTGGCTGAAGCACCATAAACAGTTTCTTCCACAGCACTGCTGCAAGCTCACTGCCAGCCCAGTGCTGAACACCCTCTTAGGTCTTGGGAATGGCATGAGAGAACACACAGGAATTATGGAATTAACATAATGAATAAATGGCAGCGCCCAAGACAAGCTGCTTTTCCCCCTGAATTTTGTCCTCTTCTTGGGAGATTTGTTTCATCTTGCAGAGAATGCAGAGGTGGGTCCCAGCAACAACTCAAAAATGTCCTATAGATCTCCTTCCCTGGGAGAACAGTTCACATAATTTATGAAAACTGCCAGCCAGCCATTCTTCTCTGGAATCAAGAAAGTTGGTAAGACAGTCTCATAAATTTTTCAATGCTTTACTTATTTGTCACTTTATTTTCCATGCAATGAGATACTAAAATTTGGCTGGTGGCTGTTTCAGAAGGGAATCACTAGAAAAAAAAGACTCCTTGGAAAACCTGCAGAGACTACACAAACGTTTGATGCTGTGAACAGCAACCTCTTATCTTAGAGCCTCTTTATCCCCTGTCGGCCTAAACACATGGTGTTTGCTCCACAGGCTTTGTTCTTTCTTCCTCAGCTTCACTCACTGTTCTGCTGTGCCCCACCACTGCATCAGGCTCCAGAAGGGTGCCAGGATAGCCTTTGTTATGGCATCAGATTAGGCTCTGGTCCAGGGTCCCCATTCCCTGGCTGCCCAGCAGGGACACACAGCCTTCCGGGTGCAATCCTTTGTGCTGGCAGTGCTGGCAGCTTGCTCCCAGCAGGTTCTACCTCTGCTTGCCACCAGCACCCAGAGTTTTTCCACCCTGTGGTGTCAGGAAGGTCAGGAGGTGGAAAGGGGGACAGGACAGATGCAGAGCGAGGCTGGCTTGCTGTGCAAGGCTTCCTCCACCCAACAGCACAGCCCCTTCAAACCCCTGGGGCTGCATTTGACAGAGGAAGTGCTGTGAGCTCCAAGCATGCAGGATGCAGGGATGCCAGGGCTCCTGGAGTTGAGGCATGTGTTGAGGACAGACACCTAAGATGTTATCAGCACAGTTCCTCACTCCTCTAAATGGGCAAGGCAAGAGTTCCTGTGTTTAATGGCAAGTGTTTCACACAAGGTCAGGCAAGAGAGGATCCAGCCTCCAGGCCTGTTTGCAGATACAAACCCAGGTGCTCCAGGGCTCTCAGCCACACAGTGCAGCCCTGCAGGAGTCCCTTTACCAGAGACTCACTTTGCTGAGAAATGCCCTACTCCATCCCATCTCACCTGGATTTGGGCACTTCCAGTGGGCTGCTTCCAATCCTCAGGAAGTTATCAGAATGGGTTGATGAGGAAGAGCTGGAGGACTTGACTTCAACCATCCCCGTGGAAGGCAGCCTGTCTTCTGACTGCTGTGCCCTGCTCCAGAGCACAGCTTGTGGTGATGAGGCACAGCTCTTCCTCCTGTGGGATGGAGGACTTGGGTGAGAAAACTGGCTCCCCCACATACTCCAACTAGGAAGCCTTTATACAACGGGCTGGATTTTCACCCCAGTAGCTACAAGCTCTTGCTCCCAGTGAACCTGCCCTCCTCCCTCCCAAGGAGCCATGAGTCATGGGTAACTGCTCAGTGACAGGGCACAGGAGCTCAGCCCCTCTGAGCTCATTCTTTTATAGACCACCATCCACGTGACCTGGCAATCAGAGACAGGGGAATGCACCAGCCCACACACATACAGGGATTGCTTTGTTTAGTCTAGCTGGTAAAAATGCCTCAAGCAAGGGGGCCTCCCAGCAGGGAAAGACCATTTCAATCTGCTCTAAACTCTGCAGAGTCTATCAGGCGAGGAGCTCAGCCCAGGTGGGTGTTCATGCTCACTGATGAGGGTGACAGGGACACAACGCTGGTGTTATTTTCCCTTTTAGTGATTCCCTTCAGGCATCTCTGACCACACTTCTGACCATATGCTCACAGCTCACAATCCCTCCAGCTGTAGGTGCATTTCAGCCCTCTCCCTGCCTGTGCTGACAGCCTGGAGCTGCTTTGGCTTTTTTTCAAGCCAGCACATGTAGACTCAGGCATGATCCACTATCCATTGTTGCATCAGGGCTTAGTTCTCAGTGCCATCCACCTACACACCAAACAGACACACATATTTGGGATTAATTCATGTCACTTCTGCTCCATGTTCAGATTTTCCTTCTCACATATCTTTATTTTTCCTGGAAGATTCTCAAGAATTTTTCCCCTACCAAAACCAGAACAAATTGGACAGAGACCTCACTATGCACACAGGGAAAAAGGAAAAGTCTAAAGCAGACAAACTCAGGGATAAAACATGCTGTTCTTCCTGGAATCTGGAAAGACACCTCAGCTTTGAGATCTCAAGCACTGTCATCAAGTGCAGCTAAAGACAGGCTCATCGTACAGTGGGAAGCATGATGTCCTCTCTTCCCTCCTTGAAGTTTGTCCACCCTCAAACATCACGCCACAGCCTCTCCCAAGCATTATTCATCTCATGTTATCATAGCTGCCAACGTCTCCAAGCACAGCCTGCAGAGACAGGCTTGTACAGCTAAAACCCACATGCCTCTCCCTGCAAGGAGACCTCGAGGCCGCCCGTTTCAGGACAACATGAAGTGCATCCCTTCCTCTCCTCCCTCCATGCACAGCCCAGCTCACCCAGCTTGCAGCAAGCCCTACCCTCAAACATCACGCCACAGCCTCTCCCAAGCATTATTCATCTCATGTTATCATAGCTGCCAACGTCTCCAAGCACAGCCTGCAGAGACAGGCTTGTACAGCTAAAACCCACATGCCTCTCCCTGCAAGGAGACCTTGAGGCCGCCCGTTTCAGGACAACACCATGAAGTGCATCCCTTCCTCTCCTCCCTCCATGCACAGCCCAGCTCACCCAGCTTGCAGCAAGCCCTACCTGTGTTCCAGACTACACAGCCACAACAGGCTGCAGCAGAACGTGCCCAGTCCCCTCCCTAAGAAGTCATGGCAAAGGCTCACAGACATCCCTTCCCAAGCTCATGCTCACACCATGGGTCTGAATCATCACCGTGGCAGCAGCAGGAACCCCAGCACAGCCTGAGGCCTTCAACAGGAAGGAAAGCAAACCAGAGTAAGAAATCAAACCCTGATACTCAAAAGTGCAGCAGATCTCTTCCAGCATGTCCTGGCCACTTCACATCTTGTGAAAATCACATTAACTTTTGTGCTGCAGGATCTGGTCTGTATGTCCTAAGCACTCTGAGCAATGTAAATGCTTGCAGCTTACTACCCTGCAGCCAGGCAGGTGGAAATTTGTTCTCCACCTGCTGCAGTCACTTTACTGTGGGTAGGTAGGCCCTGTTTGTCAAAGAGGACTGCTCTGCTCACTTGGCAAACATAGTTTGGGACTCCCCATCTCCATTTTGTGATTCTGCAGGAAGATTCTCTTTTCCTCTCTTCAGCATTTTATAATCTCAACCACAATGTGCTTTAGTTAGGTCTACTGCCACTAGCATGGCTGCAGGCTCAGTCCCTGAAGGCTTCCAACTGCCTCCAGCACAACCCAGATTTAATTTAAAATAATTGCAATGTAAAATAGCTTCTTCACATGTGCTGAGGGAGAGGAGAGAAAAATTAAACTGAGAGGGGCAACCCTGCAGCAAGGTTCTGAAATCCCACATCAGCAGCAGAAACTCCACAAGCAACACAAAGCCCAGCCCAGAGCAGGAGAGTCACCAGACACCTTCCCCAGCCCTGCTTCCAGACAGCCACTGGCAACCCCAGGGGAGTCCTAGGGGACCCTCTTGTCAACAGGGAGCACTGAGAATTCCATGTTCTCTCCCAGAAGTTTCTTTAAGCAGTGCTGCAGGCAGCTACAGGTTTTCAGCTCACACACCTTGTGCTGTTAGAGGGGCTAAAGTTTAGAGCAGCTATTTGGCCATCCAGCCCACCTACCACCAACTGCAGACAGTGCCCTGTATAATCTCTTCCATAAACTGATTAAGCTTAATTTTAGGGCAGCTAAACTTTGTCTCCACTTTTCCCTGGGGAGGCTGCTGCCAAATGTAATTTTTTCTGGCAGTTTGGAACCATCATTTAAAAGTAATGAGATCCCTTCTGGATGAAGTTAACAGTGAAACTGGTGAAAATGAAACAAAACTGCTTTGCTTTCATCAGGGGAGAAATTGTTGCAGAAGCCTGACAAGTCTTTAACATGGGGTGATACCCAACTTTTGGTGCAGAAGTTCTGTAGCACAAGCTGCAGCAAAGCCTCTGAAGAGCCAAATTCCTCCCTCCACTGCAAGGAACCCATGCCACAGAGCTCAGACTTCTCACCATGCTGCTTGAGCCTGTGCTCCTGCTGGCATCAGCTCCACTGCTTCATAGGTGAAGCTCCCAGCTGCTCCAGGAGAACTTTCCATCCCCAGGGAGAAGTCACTGCTCAGACTTGTGGTGCTGCCTCGGTCTCTCTGCTCTAGAGAAAACAAAACAGAACTACCTGAGGGCCTGCTTGGCCTCGCTCATTTTCTCTCTGTTTCAGCAAGACACTTCCCCCATGCCCTGGGGCCACGTTCTTGGAAGCCCCAAGGAAAGCATACCCATTTGTAGTCACCTTGGTGCTGGGAACCCAAGCCCCCAAGTGATCAACCATTACCAGCACCCAGGGGCGCTGATGCTCGGCAGCAGCACTCACTGAGCATGCAGATCTCTTCCAGGGTGAAGCTGGGTGGCAAACTCTTCCTTCTGGGAAAGGAAAGACAAAAGGTACTTGAGCCATGCTCCAGGGCTGCCATGGAGGCTGGCCATGGCCAGATCTCTGCAGCACAGAGTGGATCAGGGCAGTGGGGAGTCAGCTGTGCAGGGGCAGAAGGGAGGGGATGGGGCCAGTGTGCAGATAGACCCTCCTAACAGTCCCAGCCCACACACCCCGATTTTGAGAGGGTGGCAACAGGCTGCAGGCAGACGTGTGCTTATTCAGAGCCTCCAGGGTGGGCTTGCTTTCTTTCTACCCCTCCTGAAATAGGAAGGGGTTAATGTTTAGTGCTCTGTTAAAGACCAGCGACTCCATTCCCCCCAGCAGTGCCTGATGGAGCTTGCTGAGCAGCCTGCTCACACATCTCTGGGCTCATCCGTGCTAAAGCAGCCACGGTCAGTCATTAAGCAGAGAGCACATTTCAGCATGGACAATTTTTCAGAGCACAACATGGCACCTCACAAGCCTCGGCCCCATTTTGCAGCCTTCAGAGTGCAGAATAAATTAAAGAAAACTGGGCCAGGACACCAGGGCTTCCATCTCCCCAAAGGAACAGCATTAACAAGCTCCCTGGCTCTGCAGCCCATGCAGCAGCAGGCATGGGCTCCTTACCTCTGCGACTTCACAGCAGAGAACTCCTCAGAGGTGATGTGCTTCAGAAAATTGAAGCAGAAAAAGAAAATCTGAGCAAAGGGAGAGAAAAGAGCTGTTCAGGAATGAA